TTATAATGTTCTTATCTTCTACTATGCTAAAAAGAGTTGGAAGTCAATGCTTTTTTCTTTTTTCCTTTGTACTTATATTTTCTTTTCCTCTTTTTTTCCTTCCCCAAATTTTTTATTTTTATTTTGCTTTGTATTTTATATCTGAATTACCTTAAGCTCACTAAAAATCTTCAAAAGGTTTCCTGCAACAGATGTTTCTAACATTTGATTGCAAACACTTTAACATAATCTAACAAATTATCAGGGCCCACTTCAAAAACTCATCCTAAGAAAGCAGGACTCTTGGAAGAGTTTCTTTCCAAAAGGAACTTTTATTAGGAGAAGCTGATAGCAGGCATAATAGGCTGGATCTGAGGGTTTCCCACTCAGATCAATAGGTTAAAGGAGTCTCAAGCAAACCCCACTCCAATAGTTTATCCGGTCAGTTTCAATGGGCCAATCCTCAGGTTTTAAGTCTGTTGTGGGAAAGGAGCTGATAACGGGGATCGTTCCCATGCTTGTGAAGATGTTGCTGGGTCTTTGCACTTTCCCTTCCACGCGAAAGATAAGCCAGATGGCCTGAGGCACATTCCTTTCTCACCCCAAGGTAACATCAAAAGAGAGATAGTTCAAAGAGCAAATATGTAGAAACAGCAGGAAGCATACATTGTAGTGAAGCAGAGAAAATACCACAGAGCCCTCCCCACTCCCCGTCAGGAGAATGGCAGAATCCTCAATAAGATATAGAAAGAAATGAAATGGATTTTTTCCCCCCCCAGGAAAAATGGGTTCTGACACAAATTTTATTTTATCTCCCACAACTAGAAACATTTGAAAGACAGAGTGGCTTACATTAGATATAAAGCCTACATTTATGCTGAAACACCTTTTACTAATATCAGCAATTTGGGGGGAACTCGCTAAGATTATAAAAAGAAACTTTTACAATGGAATATCGAAAGGTTTTGCACAGGGATGTTCCTTCAATTTCAATTCATAAAAGTAATAAATGATGTGGGACACCATGCCACCAATTAATAAATCACCACTTCACATGGAGCTCTATAAGGAGCTGCTCTTGAAAAGTATCTGGAAGCTCCAAATGGTTCAAAGTGCAGTCGCCCATATGGTTTTGTGTAGACCCAGGTGAACACGTATGTCACCTTTCCTGTGGGAGTTGCATTGGCTGACTATTTGCTTCTGGGTACAATTCAAGATGCTGATTGTCACCTTTAAACCTTACATCGCTTGGGATCAGCTTATTTGAAGAATTGTCTCTTCCTGATTTGAAGAATTGTCTCTTCCTATCCATATAATCCAGTAGAGCAGGACCGCCATCTGGTCTAGACTCCTGAAGCGTCCCTCCTTCTTCATTGCCCCTCCAGGGCAACTTTCTGACCACCGGACTCAACGGAATTGGACTAAGAACCTGGAGCACCTCCTTCTTCCATCCGTCTCGTCAAGGCATCAGACCAGAAGTCCTCAAACTGATCATTTCTTTTTCAGGGGGCAAAATCAGCAGGGGATCAAATATTTTTTCCCCTCACTGTACATTGTTGGGGACAATATGCTGACTTAGAAAGGGCTATAAAGCACTATGAAGCAGTATGTAAGTCTAAGTGCTATTGCTATTGCTATTTGTGTTCCATGAAGCAAAGCAACATTCAGACAATGTAATATGTGAATATATCTTGGAGAAATATAACTCCCAGAAGAATATCAAAAAGAGTGGAACCGGCTAAGAAGTTTAATTCAGCTCAAGGGGAAGTTGTAAAAAACTCCTTCTACCCAATTGATCCAGCTGGCTGAATCCACTCCAAAGAATTTGGTTTGATTATTGATGGGAATTTTAATAAAACATAAAGGCTCTCAAGAGAGTGCAAAAGTAACGCTGCTGGCCTGTTCCTAGTCTCCTTAATCTTTAAGAGTAATTCCCAAATTTTGGGAGGGAAGGATAAGAATTACATGTATCCCTGATACATACCACTCGTTCCATTCAAGCAGTGTACTGGATCTCTTTTGTGTGTCTAGAGATAAAGTTGACCTCTTCTCAGAGGTCACGGTACACTTTAGTGACAATAGCGATCATAAGCTTGTAAGCGTGACATTGCGAGGCTTCTCAGATTTAAGGCCATATATCATGGCTGACAGAAAGTAGAGGTGACCCAAAATAAAAGATTAATTTGGGCCGAAATTGATACTAAGGCAATATTGGACTGCCTTAAAGCAGAGAATGCTACCAACTGGGCTAAAACAATCCAGTCATCTTCTACTGACTGGCTCTCAGCCTTCAACACGGTCTCTAATCTCTGTAATATCCTGAAGAAACTAAACCTGCTACAAAACTATCCTGAGTTGGTAGACCCCGTTGGTTTGATCCTGAATGTCACCGGCTGAAAAAGAAATTGTAGGCAGCCATGAGGCTTACCCAGAGGAATCCTACTGTTCATATACAAGCTGAGATGTTGCACATAAGAAGCGAATAAAAAAATTATAAATTTTAAAAAAAGAAGGTTTTGCCATTTCAATCTGGATCTAACTTGGGTTGGCTGCCAAAAGTCATAACTCAGTAATATTTTGGCACTCTATAGCAGATGTTCTAAAGGAATGGAGATTTGCATTTGATATACCAATCTCCACTGAGGACTGGGAGAAGTATTATCAGTGTTTGTTTGCTTCCACGGAACATGCAGAGAAACTGTCTTTAAGCAGTGATGTAGTAAACTCTGGAATTCCTCCCCCTTGTCCACCCGTCTTGGAAAAGGAGATATAATCCATCATTGAAAACTTAAAGAGCAATAAAGCTCCAGGTGAGGATTTCTTACCAGCAGAATTATTTAAGAAATTTCCCAATTGGTGGGGACCAGTATTGGCAGGTCTTTTTACACACATAAATAACACCTTCAATATGCCAGATGGGTGGAAGATGGCAATAGGTGTCCCCATATATAAAACAGGAAATAAAAAGGATCCTAGTAATTATAGGCCCATCAGTCTGATTGACATTGCAGCAAAATATATATGCTAGGTTCCTTTGAAATAGAATTGAAATATGGGTAAAGGAAAACCATATCTTCGTAGAAGAACAAGCAGGTTTTAGACAAAGCCGATACACTATTGATAACTGCTTTGTCTTGAACCATCTAATTGCCAGATATGCCTATAAGAGAAGACCCCTGTTTGCTGCTTTTATAGACCTCACAGCAGCATTTGATATGATAAACAGAAAAGTACTATGGAATAAACTGACAGCTCTTAAAATAGAATCTAGACTGCTGGTTTTGATTAAAGCCCTTTACACAAGTACCTGTTTGAGGGTATGGTATGGGATTAACGGGGCTCTGACTAACAGGATTCACACAAATAAAAGGATAAGGGCCCATTATTATTTAGTTTATATATCAATGATTTGCCAAGGTTAATGAAGGATCCCATGGTACATATGCCGATGATCCTAAATACATACTGTAACAGCTTGCACTATGCGGATGATATGATTTTATTATCATATTCACAAGTAGGATTATGTAGGCTGTTTTATTTTATTTTATTTTATTATTTTATTTTATTTTATTTTATTACACATGTATATATTTACAGTATATCCCATCTTTTTACTTAATTCAAAGCCGCAACCATATGGAACCCACCTTCCGGGTCATATTTTCCCGACCACAACACACCTGTGAGATGGGTTGTGTTGAGAGACAGCGTTTGGCCTAAGGTCATCAAACTGGCTTTCATGGCCAAGCAAGGACTTGCACTTATGATCTGCCATTTTCTAGTCCAATGCCTTTAACATTAGACCAAACTAAAATACTTTTAAACATAGAAATTATGTTTAATTATGTTAAACCTCTATGAAAGAAGAATTGGGATTGCAATGGAACCATATCAGGGTCTTTCCTGATATTGCACAATAAACCACCTTTAATCTTCCAATTAGGTGAGAAATGCAGTGCTTTTTTTGTAAAAAAAAAAAAAAAAAAAAA